GCGGGCACGCAGCTCAAAAGAGGTACATTGTGTCTAATTTTCATACAGTACATATCTGGCAGTAGTGAATTCAGCGGCAGGGGAATGCAAGATTGAGAGCAATTAAGTCATTAGCAATGAGTGTTTGCAGAAACACTGTCGAATGAATAATATTTTACACAAAATACAATTCTGAGTATTTGGAAACAACAACAACAACAACAATCACCTTTTAGCACACATCCAAACATTAACTTGTTGGCTCAAAATATTGTCACGGAAAGGGGTAAATTGATGCTGGAATCCTCAGCATGCCGATCGGATTTGTGTAAATAGTTACCAAGAATGACTGTTTTTGTTAATTATAGATGTTCATTATTTCCTAGTAGTGACAGACTTGTGTTCATCCACTGTCCACTGCTTTTATTTAACTATTGCTCACTCACTGTTGGTGGATTTCATTTAGCACCGTGACTTAGTTGTCTTTAAAGTCAGTTGTCTACATTTTTTTCCGGATTGTGTAAATTACTGTTACTACAAGTTATTAAAAGGAAGCAACTTGTGTGTGTGGTGTTCAAATCTTACTATCATGTGGTCGTGTTTGTCGCTAATGCTGTGGATTTATCCGAAAATGAGATGGATTCTTATATTGCGAAAGTGGTGTTACATATTGGGAAATCATCATGTGCGCCATATCTGCACCTATGAAGAAACAATTTTACTGTATTGTCACTGTATCAGGGATTAATTGGTAGTCATTTAAAAACACAACGGAATTTAACAAATGTGGGTTCAAATCTGCAACATCAAAGACAAAATGCGATGTTAGTGAATAAATATGATTCCTGTGCCCCACAATCAGATAAAATCTGAAATACTGAAGTAATTTGAATCCTAGCTGAGAAAACATTAACAGGCAACCAGAGCCAAAGTCCCAATAATGCAGTGTTTGGGACAGGATATCTTTCTAGCATGTATCAATCAAGCTCACTACGCCCCCACAAATGTTGTTTAATTAATTCAATTTTATTTTGTCAGGTGGCTGCACACAATACAATCAACTGGATTTAGATACATTTTTAAGTAGATGTGTGGAAAAAAAATGTATCTGGATCAAATTGATTTTATTTCATACAGCCACTAGACTAAATACAATTCAGTACATTCAACACACTATTTTTTTCAGGGGATAGATTAGGCGACATAAAACTAGTCCGTCAGTCTAAACATTTAATACACCGCTTGCCCTCATAGGTTTGCAGGGAATTGGAGCCCATCACAGCTGACTTTGGACGAGTGGCGGCTGACACCTCGGACAGTTTGACGGTCAATTGTAGGTCACCTTTGCACAGTTAACCATTCACACTCACATTTATACATGGGTAAGTTTGAGATCCAGTTAACCTAAGAAGCATGTTTAGGGTATGTGGGAGAAAACCAGACAAGCATGGGGAAAACTTGCAAACCCCATGTCGAAATGTTAGAAATAATATTTGAAAATTAATCTATACTGACTGCAAGGCAGATGTGCTCACCGCAAATTCACCATGGCATGAAAAAAAGTGAGATTCTTGAGGTAAATATGGTCAGAAGTACAGTTTTCAGTGCTCTATCCATTGCAGTGTAGAGTATTTACTCTGTCCAATCTATGCATTTTCTGAACCACTGAGCAATTTTAGGGGCAAAGGCAAAATGAATTGACTGACTTCAAATCAGTGATACTTCATACAAAGTTCACATTGTTATCACTTCATTGGTAATCACATCCTGCATGTCTGACAGAGATTAGTGGAGATGGAAAAAAAGATTTTTGAGGGTATGAAAACAAATGTCCCCAAAGGGGCAGCAGAGGGTTTTTTTTCATGTAACTATTTTGAGATTGCAATTTGCATACTGTACATTCAATAATAGATGGTATTAAAGGCGACTAAAATATGAACTTGACAGCACTAAAGTTATATAGTAACAGTCCACTGATATTAAAAATAATGGTACAATTAGAATTTTAAGTATTCAACAGTGGAGAACGAAATGAGTACATGGGTAGCTCTCCATGGTGCTGAATCCCCACTTCCCTTCCACTGCATATTATTCTCAGTAAGCAACTGAAATAAGATAAGATAAGAAAACCTTTATTAGTCTCGCAATGGAGAAATTCCCAATTCACAGCAGCAAAGTTATGAAAGGAAGACGTAGAACAACAAAATATAGGAGCTGCCGGAAAGGCAGCCACTCTCGCGGCGCCATCCTGAAGTCAAAACAACAAAAATAACACAACACATAGGACACAGACAGTTGTGCAATCTTCACCACTTTCCTGCATACACTTTGTTGTCTGAAGCAGTTATAGACGAAAGAGGAGAGGATCAAAGTGTCCTTTTACCAGTGCATCACATGTCTGCTACAAGCTAAGTTTTGAAAGCAAACACGAAGCTGTAGCGTCAAGGAGAAGTGAAACAATGCCTCTCATATTTTAACATTTATCCTTGATGGAAATCATAAGAGTAGTGTAGACCTTATTGCGCCCAGCAAACAGGTCATTAACCAAAAAGATACAGAGCACTCCACATGACAATGTTACAAACTAACCTCAAGAGGGGAGTCAGGTTCATCCAGGATGTTCTTTTCCCTGAAAGGCTTCTGGGTGGTCCCTGTTGAACCGGGGTCCATAACCAGCACGTTGTGACTAGCAGCTCTGTCCAATTTACAGTCACTTTTTCTGGAGTCAGTGGTCCTGCACACCTCGTAATTGTAAACATGCGGGAGAGTCCCCGTCCCCAAAGTATCCGAGTAACGTGGTGGATAATACGGAATGACAGGTAGGTTGGAGTGGTACAGGACGCGGGACTGTCTCCACCGGTACACTTTGACCGATATGATAAGCAGCAAGCAGGTGATGAAGAGGAAGGACACCACCGCCAGCGCCAAGACTAAGTAAAAAGTCAGCTGGTCATTGTACTCCTTGTCGTGCATGCTCAAGTCAGTGAACTCTGACAGCACTGGAGGGAAGCTGTCGGCCACCGCCACGTTCACAATGACCGTAGCTGAACGAGAGGGCCGCCCGTTGTCCTCCACGACAACAGTCAGTCTTTGTTTGACAGCATCTTTATCATTCACTTGGCGGACAGTTCGGATTTCTCCATTGTGGAGGCCCACTTCAAACAGCGCCCTGTCGGTGGCTGCGCTCTGACGCGGAAATGGAACTCTTTCAGTTGCTCATAGTCAAAAGAACGCACTGCATGGATGACTCCACTCTCTGCACTAACGGACACATATGAGGAGACTGGCACGCCGTTCACTGAGGAGTCCTCCAGGATGTAAGAAAGACGAGCATTCTGGTTCCAGTCTGCATCACTGGCTTTCAGTGTGAATATGGAAACACCTGGCGTGTTATTTTCTACAACGTAGGCCTCATATGAGCTCCTCTCAAAGACAGGCGCGTTGTCATTCACATCTGAGATGAGTAAGGTGAGAGTGACGCTGCTGGAGAGGGAGGGCACACCCTCATCAGAGCACGTCACTGTGATATTATACTGAGACGACCTCTCTCTGTCTAAATCATTATCTGTCACTAAGCTATAAAAATTATTTTCAGAGGTTTTGAGAGTAAATGGAATATTTTCATTAATAAAGCATTTCACCATTCCATTGTCTCCCGAATCCAAATCCTCTATGCTAATAACAGTAACAACAGTATTGATTTCGGCCCCTTCTGATATCACATTTGATTTGGACATAATGTTTATTTCGGGTCTGTTGTCATTTTCATCTAGTACATCGATAATCAATTTACAAGAATCTGTGAGTCCTCCATCATCACTCGCAAGTAAATGAATTTGAAAATGTCTTGACTTCTCATAATCTATATTTCCAATTAATGACACCTGGCCGTTGTCTTTATTTATGTCAAATATGTTTCGAACGTTATCTTGGGTGTTTGTTATTGAATACGATATTTTGGAGTTCAAATCTCCATCCTCATCAGAAGCAGAAACAGTAGCCACAAGCGTCCCTGCAGGTGAATTCTCTGTTACAATAGCCTTGTATGCGTGCTGTGTAAAAACGGGGGCATTGTCGTTCGCGTCTAACACTGTAACGTGAATCAACATCGTTCCCGACATGCGCGGCTCTCCTCCATCTACAGCCGTTAACACGAGAGACAAATGCTCAGCTTTCTCTCTGTCTAAAGGCTTCTGTAAAACCATCTCCACATTTATATTGCCATCCGCGTTATTTTGCCGTTTAAGAGCAAAATGGTCTGCTGGTTTTAATTCATAATTATGAACGCCGTTAATACCAACATCAAGATCCGCCGCCCTTTCGAGAACAAATTTAGCTCCGATAGTCGCCGACTCGCTTATTTTAAATTGCATTTCATTTTTTTCAAAACTCGGCGCATTGTCATTTATGTCTGTAACCTGCACAGTAACACTATAAAATTCGATCGGACTTTCCAAAATGATTCGGAAATGTAGCGCACAAAGCGCGGTGTGTGCGCAAAGAGCCTCTCTGTCGATCCTCTCTTTCACGAGGAGGACTCCTTTCTCTCGGCTCAGTTCGATGCATTCTTCATTATTTCTGGAATAGATCTTTGCTTTGCCGGAAATCAGACGTTGTATTTCTAAACCCAAATCTTGCGCTATGTTTCCCACTGAAGATCCTCTGCTCATCTCCTCTGGAATGGAATAGCTGACCTGGCCGTACACTGCGTCGAGGGCGAACAGAGACACAAACAACAGTACTTGCCCATTCATTGTTCTTTCCATTTCTCCCCAGCGGAGTTCCTCTCGCTTTACCCTCCACTAAAAAGAGCCTCTTCGCAGTCTAACGTCGAATATAATCCACTCGTAATCCAAATAAATGGTGTTCAGGTCCAAACGTCTGGATTTTTCATTTGACACGCACGTAAAATTATCCGTTCTCCTCTCGTCGCGTTCTCCCTTGTTTTGTGGAGGTTGCAGGGAGGCGCAGCACCCAGGCTGCTCCTACTCATCAACTTTTTGGTCTACAGCGTCCCTAAGAGTCCATATTGCAACACTGCAGGACGGAACAATTTAGAATCACCATTTTCCCCAGCGCACGCCCTACACACACAAAAAAAAAATCATAATAAATAATCTAATAATAATACACATGAAACCTACCGACTAAATTGCTGTACACAAACATTATTGACATATAGCAATCACTCTATACGTTTCAAAATGCAAAATATGTCATTAGCCAATACTGTATGTAGTACCCATTTAACAATGATATTGTTTTTTTATTTTCCTCACTGCAACCACCTCGTGTATCTCTAAACATAACTTGACACGCTTTAAAAGCATGAATAAATCTTTAAATATTATTTTTCATTAACTGGGCATAATAACGTTTTTTCGGACATGACACACGAACAGAGGTAAATTCATACTGATTGTACTCTACATGCTCCTTTAAAACGGTTTCCAAAGAAACCTAATCAATGTAGATTCACTGGCAGTCATTTTAGGAACACTATTTCACTAGTGTGGATAGAAGTTTGCAATGCAAAAGGTAAAAGTAAATGCACATCCTGGGCTCCACAATCAGCCTTCCCTCGATAGAACTATGACGACAAGACCGTTCGCCGCCGTTGCCTGGGTGGCGGGATCGCTAAAGCGATGTCGACAAAATGAAGCAGTTGAGCAAGGTAAATCCTCAAAAACAACAACGTAACAATCCTCTTAAATCATTTCAACAAGTAGCAACCAAATGATGATGTGGAAAGCATAATAATGGTCGAGGACTTTGCACAGGCTGCGTATCATTAGCAGTTTAGCCGCTAATAAGCCGTGCATCTTCCGGACCAAAACAGCAATCAGACAGTCATCTTTTGCTCGTGATTCAAACAATGCAAATGATTGCCGGTCCGCGAAAAACATGTACTTCTTTGAATCGGTCCATTGCGCAAAAAAAAAAAAAAAAAAAAAAAATTGTAACACTACTGTACACGACTGTGTATGCAGAAATTATTTAATATTTTGCAAATTTTATAAAATGTCAGATTTCAAAGTTGAACTGGTTGAAAATGGTAACAAGACTTGTACAAACCTTTAAGGGAAATATGTCAAAGAAAGAACTGAAATATGTTGAAGTTTAGTAGCGAAAACAAATGAAAGACCACCAAGGCCAAAGGACTATTCAGGCAGTTTTTGGGATTAGCGAGACCACTATAAATAGATTAAGACATACACACACAAAAAAACAAAACAAAACACAATTCCGTCGCCCCAACCATTACATTCAGCTTGTGCTCATTAGGTTTGCAGGCAATTGGAGCCTATCCCAATTGACTTTGGACAAGAGGCGGCTTAAACCTGGGACTGTTTGCCGTTCAATCACAGGTAACGTTGAAACAAACAACCATTCACACTCACGTTTATATGTACGGGTATAGATATTAACCTTGAGGGAACCGAAGAAGCATGTTTTTGTTTTGTGGGAGAAAAGCGTGCAAGCCCGCGTAGAACAAGCAAAGCCCATGTAAAATGCTTGAGGTAAATAAGATCACATGTACAGGAGATGCTATTCAGTGCTCTAACCTTTGCAGTGTTTAGCATATTTGATTCCATCCATGCATCCATGCATTTTCAACACCACTTTTATTGTACTGACTATTTATCACTGACACTTCACAAAAACTGCACATTGTTTTCACTTCGTTGGTAATCAAATCCTGCCATTCTGATAGTGATTGATGGATAACAACTTTATGAGGGTCTGGATGAAAACACGTTACCAAAGATCCAGCATTTTGAATGCAGCAATTTTGACAATAGTTCAAGTATATTCAATAAGTGATTGTGTTCAAGGCAATTTGAATATGAACTTGACAGTCCGAAAGTAAGATGGTTCCAGTCTATTGAAATGGAAAATAATGATCACATTTCAGTTTTTAACAAGTATTCAACAGTGAACAAAGGAATGAGTCAAAATGGTGAGCTCTCCGTGGTGCTGAATCTCTACTTCACCACAACTGCGGGTACTCTCAGTGAGTAATTGAAATCAAGGAGAATTGAGAGATTACTTCTCATATTTTAACATTTGTACTTGATGGAAGTCAAACGAC